TAATTCTCATGGGTGATTGGATATGTGGGGCCACATCCTTCCAGGGTGCTGAAGGGCTGGATGCAAAGAGTTTACTGTTTTCATGTTCCTCATGAAAGATATAATGTATTGACTGGAATATAACCCTCCCTCATTATGCCATTTATGGGAAACACAATACTTGGTGTTTATAAAGCAGTTAATTTATAACAGACAAAACCAGATTACCACTCTTTGGAAGAGCAAATATTTGTTGAAAAACTTCTATATGGGACAGATATCTTCATCTGGTTTTTAAACCTAGTTGACTGAGAAAAGTAACAGAGGAGTTACCTAATAGGTAAGATGAAATTTATATGAAGCATTTAGATTGTAAAGGGAAGGGTTATATTTTTATATATATACAAAATTATACATATTTATCAGCAATTCTCTAAATGTGATGTTTTAAATGGTTCTAGATCTTAATCAGCATTCTAATATATCTTTCTCTTACTCGAATACCTTCAGAAGAAAAATGCATTTGAGCAAAAAACTGCTTTCTTTGATATCTGAGGCTACTAGAAACAAATATTTCTTAAAATGCAAATAATTTTTACTTTGGTCTAACATTTATATGTTTATTAATGAACTATCTACTCTATGCATAAAGTGAGTTCTCTAAAATTAGCAGTAAGTTTCACTCAGGTCTAAAAATACAAGCCTATAAAGTGCAAAAATGTCGCTTGTTTCCAGAACCGTTTTTCCTAGTCCTAGAGCACATGCTGTATTTCTAATTGTTACTAAAGTCAAACAATAAAGCTCCTGTAATGTTAAATTTTTACAATCTCAACTTTGCAGTGAGTGTTTAACGCCATTGTGAGGTTCTTATTCCTGTGATGTTCATAACACCCAAATTAGTAGCATTTGTGTAAGCTTGAGGATGCAGGACTCTTTTCTGGAGTGTTGAATGGTCTGGGACATGCCTGTAAACAAGGGCTTCTGTGTTTGCCCTGTCCTTTCAGTCTGAAACCCATCTGTGTTAGGAAGGCAGACCTCTCCGGAAGGCAGCTCGCTCCTTTCCCAATTCTCTCCGTTCACATCTCCCAGGGAAATCTGTTGGCCCTCCCAAGCCAAGTACTGTCCCAGACCTCTCAGAGAGATATGCAAACGTGACAGCTGCCAAATGCAACACTGTTAGATGTCACATGGGAATTGCACTACCCCCAGAAAAGATGGGAAAGAGCTGATGGTCTGCAATGTCTAGTGAGCAGTTAGGCTCAATGCTCTTTTAGAAGGACTGCTGCTGTTGCAGAAAACCCTTTCTCTGTGACTGAATATGACCAAAAGCAAAATTTGCCAATCCCTGTCTCTACGCTAGAGCTGACTCTGCAATGTCCAAGGATACCTCTTTGAAGTAGGGATGATGCGCAGGGGAAAGGACTTCCTTCTTTGCTGCCAGGGCAGGCATAGCACTGTGGCAGGAACAGTACCTCGGTGCCTATGTTACCTCCCACAGAAGTGGGTCACTACATAAGGAACAGAAATGCCTTGCAGTTACTGTAATAGCTTTTTTTCAGCAGGGGAGATTAAGCATCCCTACTCTGCAGAAGTCGCGTGCACCACTTGGTCAGCAAGGCAGCAGCTGAAGTCAAGTCATCCCCTTCCCTATTGCAGTCCTGCAGAATACAGATGCTGGGAAACTCATTGAAAATAAAGCAAACATTAATGGGAAAGAAAAATAAAGTATTCACAACTGCAGTATACTGTGTATTTCACTCTGTTCCCTGGCTGCCATACACTTGAGAGGAGGCATAACACTCAGGGATTTCACTGCCTCCCGATTAAGTCATTACAGCCCATCTGTGTTGCACCAAGTACAGAACGTGACCTATTATTTCAAAGGAAAAGAGCACCCTGTGACTTGGCACCCAGATGTCTCAGTACTCACATCAACATACCTTTTCAGGACTAACTCCCACAGCCTGAATCAGGCAACTGTGAAATTCAGCTGAACTCTGAATAAATGGCAATCAAATACAAACAGCTTTCCTGTATGCCAAATCACAAATTATACAATGAATGTAATTTTCTGTTATAGATCCTTACCTTAAAGGAGCACTTAATAGTTGCCACATGTTTTCTAGATTGTTGAATCACTTACTACTGTAATGATGGGTCATATAATCCATCTTTTGATCTCATTTATCCATTTGCATGCCACTGCTATACAAAAGGATTCTTTGCAGGGTTGGTGGTCTTGAACATCCTGTTTAATTTACAATGGGAAAATATGTCTCCAAAGATTATGGCCATTCAAGATTTTTCCATAAGGTGCAATTCAACACTGCTGTATGGGAGAGAAATTCATATATTGCTTTGATAGAAAGATGAATAATAAGCATATTTGCATTTTATGCCTGAAAAGTGCATTTGCATCTGCAAATTTACATAAGCAATGTCTAATGCTAAAGTTTGACAGCAGCCTTCTCTAAGATGTGTCCAGTTCTCTCCAAACATTTGGTTGGACAAATAAGAGACCCTCTATCAACTTTGCTCAGAAATCACAACTTGTGTAAAATACAGTATTTTCAAACACAGAACAACTGTTTCATCCTTGTGCTATATGACATTGACACATGGTATTTTCAGGGATGAGACAGCACTGACAAACCTGCTTCAGCATTTGCTGGACAGTGAAGTATAAAAGAACAGAGAAACCTATGGCACGTGATCAGGAGAATGATCTGGAGTAGTAAACATCCTATAGCAGAAGGATGAAAAGTAAAATGAAATTACAAAAGGCAAGCATTCCTCACAATGACATTGTATTTTCAGTCCTGGGCCCCGTAATCTTTTTAGGGCCCGGCAAATACAGCCAGTAACATAGAAATTTCACATCGACTTACTAGAAGCAACAGTACACACCAGTGTCTTGACAGAAGTACATTAGCAGCTGCAACATCTTGCTCTGTACAGATACTGAGGTCAGAACTTCAATCTTGTTCTCTTGTTAAGCTAGAAGCTTGTCCTCTTGATGCAGCCGCATATTAGGATTCAAACACAGTAGCCCTAATGTCTTCTTGACCACTGCTGTGTACGTTGCATACAAAACCTGGTATGTCTTAGCAATATTTATCTAGGTTTTCACAGAACTTTGACCTTCTTCTGAGGTTGCTTTTGGCAATGGAGTGTCAATCAGCTTCACTGGCAACAATTTCCTATGTCTAAATCATTCCTGTTTCTCCAGGGTCACATCAGTACACTCCTTCACATTTGTAGAAATGCTTCACCTATTGCTTCTATACTAAGCTCCAGATGTTTTATCAATACTAAAAATGAACTAGACGACAGAAGGTTTTTTATACTTGTCATGAGAGTATCTGAAGCCCAGGTCTCTTAACAATCTATGAACACAACGTATCAAGGGAAGAGTTGACCGGGCAAGAGGTATGATTACAGACACCGTTAAAATCTGCAATGTGTTCTCATTTTTTCTGTAAGTAAGTGAACCAAAGAACAAGATAAAGTATAAAAGCACTTAACTCTTGGTTTCTTTGGGCACATCAATCTTTCAATAATAGTCAGTATCCCCGAAATAATATTTTCTTGACAAAGAGCTATTGGTGCCACATTAACATTAGGATCTTTGTTTTCCTTCACATATGTGAAGCTCACCTTGAGTAAGTGTCATTACTGGTGCAGTTCCCTTTTATGCTATTGCTACCCATTTCAAGACTGTGTTTTTCACTTAGTTGCATGAATGAATGGGTAAATGTCCCATAGGCACAGATTCTGCCTTGCCTTAGACCGGCTTTGTGCAACCTATATGTCAGTGGATTTAATCTTGATTTATTCTGATGAGTTTGGCTTAAGGCAGTCTCTTAAAGACAGAGACTGTTTTTGTCTGATTTGAATTTTCTACATAATCAGACAAATCCATCCTTCTAAAAAAAATTCAGCATGTCATAAGTTACATGGCAAAACTCTGTTTTTCAAAGTTTGCAAAAGTAATTTGCAGCATAGAACTCCAGCATTCCCTGAGTCACATCTAAAATACTTAAAAAATATTCATATAAAGAAATATTTTTCTGTATGGTTCTTGGAAGTTACCATTTCTGGAAAAATCTAGTGGCTGTAGGTTGATTTTTGTGTATAACATACAGGTATATCTTCTTTAAAAATACAAGTTTTAATATAATGAAACTAATTTAATCTAACTCTCAAAACCAGATTGTTTTCTGGGTTGGTATTTATCATAATAGAAATCAGACACTTAATGTGTTTCTCAAGCGGGTTTTTTTCTCCAGGGACTTGCATCTTATTGATACAGCATGCCACAAATACAGAGCACATAAGGCAACAAATATTAAGGGTCAACATTTCTACAGAAGGGACGGTAACTGTCAGGCCACTACTGTTATCTGGGAAAAGATGGATCCCATAAGAATGGCAACCATGATTAAGATGCATGCAGTGGAGAACACGATCCAACTGTCAGTGCAAATGAAGTGCACAAAGGGAGCTATGGGTCTCCCAGCTCTCAATAGGTCACCATCTTGTTTTGTGGGATTAGTCTGTGTCCAGGGAAAATGTCATTTCCACCACACTCTGGCCAGAGTTCTTGTGCTTATGGATTACATCAGTTTCACAGAAGCAAAGGCTGCTACACAGGTCCAACAAGACAATTTTTCATCTTTGAGCTTCATGTTGTACTTGAAATACGAATTTGATTTTGTAAAGGAATTAAAAGTTAGCAAACGGAAAATCAGTTAAATACTTCTGACATGAACAACCAATACCATAAGATTGTGACATTTCTTCTGGATTCACTTAATGATGTTGGAAACTTCTCTCTTTCCTTGATCTAAGTAAGACCTTTCAAATAGGAACCAGATCTTAGATTTAGAGTGTATACACTTCAGATGCAGGAAGACCACCTCGCTACATCTATGACCTTTTGCATTGTGAATAGAAAGCAAACTAAAAAGTCATTGTGTTGCCTTTTTTTTTTCTTTTTCCATCTTCTTTACTAGGAAAAAAAAAAAAGAGTTCATTACTGGATGTCAACATGAAAACAGGAATTTACATACTTCTCTTAAGTGCAATATGTGTTGAAATCAGCAAGGCTGGCATCAAACCTAAAATTCCAAAGGAAAAAGAGAATAATTTCTTGGAAAGAAATAAAAATGTCAATATTTCTGAAGAGTGGCATCATCATAAAAATATCTCTAAGCCTTTTGAAGAGCAAGATCTCGAAGAGTTCACTCTCTACAACTTCACTGAAAAGACTGCAAATTTTGGATTTAACCTCTACAGAAAAATAGCAATGACACATGATAACAATGTAATCATCTCTCCCCTTTCTGTATCCACTCTTATGACTGCATATATGCTGGCAGCCAAAGGGGAAACACACAGACAAATAGTAAAAGCTCTAAACCTCCATGTTTTGAAGGACAGAATGGATCGCCATCGTTTAGCAGCTTTGTTTAAACAACTGAAAGATAATATCACAATGAATGAAGAACTTCTCCTGGTGCAAGGTACTCTTTCTTTTATCCAAAAGGACTTCAGACTCAAGGAGGCTTTCCTCAATTTATCTAAGCAGTACTTTGATATGGAATTCCTGAAAGTGGACTTTCAAAACTTCACACAGGCAAAATTTGTCATAAATCAAAATATTAACAAAAGGACCAAAGGAAAAATCCCTGAACTTTTTGAAGAGCTTGACCGCCACAACAAACTGCTACTTGTGGACTACATTGTCTTTAAAGGTAACTTTTTTTTGTTTTGCAAAATGATTATTTATTAGAAGAAACAGGACTCCAACTTCACCTACCCTAGGGGAAGTTAAAGTGAATTCAGATGTCCTGTTTTCTCTACATGTCTCTAGATTTACTTTCTTCTATTGGTTTTATTTAATAGGAAATTATTTTTCATGGTAAAGAACAACAATTCTTCTACACTTTCTTCCACACAAGAGAGTCTCAAAGAGTACAAAAAGTCCTGCATCAAACTATCTCAATCTATACCCAAGTGATCCCTCTTTATGACTAAAAAAGATGTTTAATTGTCACTCACCAATTAAAATGAAAAAGCCTTAATCATGATAGTTTTTTGAATGCTGAATACTAGGCATAAAACCATTGAATGATTTTACATAGTACACAAAATCATGAAAACAAAAATAATATCTCTATTTCAGTCAGGAAATTTTTTCCCCAGGGGAACCAAAGTGACAAAGTACTTCATTATATTACCTTACAGTGTGAGGGAAAACATAGCTGTGACAGGCACAGACTTGTGTGGAGAGGTCCTCTGCTGCCAAATACCTTATGCTCCTTTTCCTGCTCTGGAAGTCTTTCTGACCACCAGCTTAAAAGATAGATAAGGGACTCCAAAAGGAGATCCTGGCACTGACAGGGAGCCATAGCCCATGCTTTACTCTGAAACAGCCATACAGAAGCCAGAGACACGTGGTTAGGTAAAAAGCAAAGACAAAGAGCTAGGGAAACAAAGGCAGTGAGAGGAATGCTGTGCAGAGAACCCATAGTCACAGCCACTACTCCAGCCCAAGGCGCTCAGCAAATGCCATCCACAGAAACCCTGCTAAAATAAATGGAAACACGAGAACAAAGAAAATTACACCTGAGCCATCCAGTCTCCCTGTGGACTAAGTTATTCTTTTGTATTTACAAAAGTGCGGTTTGTCCAATGCCAAGGTTACTTTCCGTGGCAGAAAATCAGAGAAAAGAGATAAATGACTGTGGCTATATTTGAAAGCAACAGTAGAGATCAGAATCATTAGTACAGAAGAGGTCACATTCCAGTGCACTGCTGAATCCCCATCTAAAAGACCATGTAATTAATTTAAAAACAGGATTTTGAACAGCTGATAATTTCAGAGAAGGTGATATGTTAATAAAAGACAAATGTTCATTTGGCATTCGGTAAACAAAAGGGATATCAGTTGTGAACTTGACTGGCAACTAATCAACCTTAGAAAAATATTTCCTTTCCTTCCCTGCAAATGAAGGAGTTTATTTTGTGGATTACTTCCTTTTCCTGTTGTAAAAAAATTAAAGCACATACACTAAATATACTGCAATTGTCATCCACTTATCCCAGACACAACTGGCATCCACTTCAACTTGATAAAGAAACTATCCTATACTTTTTTTTGAAGAGTTTCTGAACATTTTTCTGAACAAGTCTAAACGCAGATAATTATTTTCTTTCTTTCCTCAGGCAAGTGGCTCTATCCATTTAATTCCAAATTCACAGAAACAGAGACTTTCCACATAAACAAATACAGAAGTGTACAGGTACCCATGATGTTCAAGTCAGATAAAGTTAACTCAACTTTCGATGAGAACTTAAGATGCACTGTAATAAAGCTGCCCTACAAAGGGAAAGCCCACATGCTGATTGTCATCCCAGAAAAGGAGGGAGATTACCTTTCGCTTGAAGACCATCTGACCACAGAGCTTGTGGAATCCTGGCTTGGAAACATGAAGACCAGGTACTGCTTTGACATTCATTGGCCTTAACGTCTTTTATGCCGTGCAGCAAAACAACAAACCACAACAAAGATTAGCTGGTCTTCCTAACCCCTTTAACATGCTGGTGTTTCTGTGGCATTAGGTATCTACAGAGTAGAGGTCCTTTAATGGCCCACCCCAACCCCAAGCAGCATGTGAAAACTCGTACTCTCAGGTGACAAGTCTGTGGCTTGTCTCAGAAATGAATGCCTCTCCAAAGGCATAATCAGTCTAGCCCTTCCAAATGCTTCCTTAGGCCTTCTCCTCCTTAAGTTTAGCACTGCTAGGCAAAGTGCACAATAAATCTAGGTATGCGGTATATTTATGAAACCTCTCCCACCAGTGGAAACCCAGAGTAATGGATAAATTTGAATATGAAAATGTAAACCCAAATTATTCCTGTGAAATGTGATTCCTGAAGTGAAAATTCTTTTCACTGGTCAATAAATCAGTGTGTCACCCTGGTACCAAGGCACTCTAAGTGCTGGTGGAAGTATTTTATAGAGAGAAAGAAATTATTTCTAGCATCGTTGGCAATCAACAGGTCAGAGATGATATTCTGCCAACCTAAATTTAGAGACTGTTTAGTTCTTTCCCCTTCTTTTTCTGTGTAAAGCTTAACTCCTCAGTAGCATACACTTCAGCAGTCAGATAATCTACTATATAGTACAAGTTTGCATTGACCTTTTTCTTTTTTCAAACAGAAAAGTGGATATTTCACTTCCAAAGTTCAAACTAGAGCAAAAATACAAAATGAAGAAATTGCTTCATGCTCTTGGAATTAAAAATCTCTTTACACGTATGGCAGATCTTAGTCATCTCACAGATCAAGGATATGTAGCAGTTTCACAGGTAAGCCTTCTAAAATAATTTGCTGCTTGGATTATAATAGTATTTAAATGGCTCAGCCAATAGACTATGACACATACACGGACACTAATAGGAAAGGACTTCCATCTGCCAAGTGCATGGAATCTGCACACCTTAATCAGTACAGATCCCACTTCAAGTACAAGCTATGTAGAAGTAAGGGGTGGTTACATTTCATCTGTGCTCAACACCTTCCAAATCTAGCCCATCACAGGAGGAAAGATGTCCCATTAAGAAAACTAACAGAAAACAGAGGCAGAATGAGAACCAGAAAAGAATGGAAGAAAAAGGACTTGACAATCACACCAATATCAAGAAAGAACAAGTCTATGTGACCAGAGATGTCCCATTAAGAAAAAAACAGCTAGTCTATACAAAAGACAATTTGCTGATGATAGAAAATTAAGAGGCATGGTCAAAGAAAGAAGATAAAAGAGATAACACAGAGAAACTGGTGACCTCAAGAACTGGAGTGTGTGGAACAGATGAAATGAAATTAATGCTAAATGCAAATTCATACATTAGAGTAAAACTAACGAAATTTCTGCAACAAGCTGGATTTATAACCAGTTGAGGAAAACAAGACTCGAATAGAGATTAATTGGGCACATGATTTAAAAACTTAGCTATAAATCTATGTAAGGAGCCCTGCTTTCCTGGGGATGGCTAAACAGCTGCCTGCCACCTAGAAGTAGCGAATGAATTCCTTGTTTTGCTTTGCTTGCGTGCGCAGCTTTTGCTCTACTTATTAAACTGTCTTTACCTCAACCCACGAGTTTTCTCACTTTTACCCTTCTGATTCTCTCCCCAACCCTGCCTGGGGGGACTGAGTGAGCAGCTGGGTTAAAACCACAACAGCCCTTTGCTGAGCCCGCTGTTGGCACCAGTGGCCAAACACCAGTCAGTCGCTAGTCATTTGCTCAACTTCACACATCCTGTGGGATGACAGAGAGACTCAGAGGAGTGAAGATAAGGAGACTTGTGGGTTGAGATAAGAACAATTTAACGGTTGATACAGAACAAAATTACAAATAATAATACGTACATACATACATACATACAAATGAGTGATACACAGTGCAACTGCTCACCACCTGCTGGCTCCCGGCTAATGATCTCAGAGCAGAGAAAGTCTCAAAACCACAATCCTGGAAGAGAAAGAGAGTGAGCTTCCTCTCCAACACCTTTAATATACTGAGTATGACATCGCATGATATGGAATATCCCACTGGTGAATTTGGACTCATTGGTGCTATGCTGGACCTTGTCCTTACCAATGAAGAGGGGCTGGTGAGTAATGTGAAGCTCAAGGGCAGCCTTGCCTGCAGTGACCATGAAATGGTTGAGTTCAAAATCTTTAGGGGGTCAAAGAGGGTGTGCAGCAAGCTCACTGCTCTGGACTTCGACCTGTTCAGGAACCTGCTTGGCAGAGTGTCATGGGACAAAGCCCTGGAGGGAAGAGGGGCCCAAGAAAGCTGGTCAATACTCAAGGGCCATCTACTCAAAGCACAGGAGCAGTGCATCCCAAGAAAGATGGAGGTGGGCAAGAAAGACAGGAGGCCTCCATGCATAAACAAGGAGCTTCTGGACTTACTAAGGCACAAAAAGAAAATATATAGGGAGTGGAAGCAAGAACGGGTTAGCTGGGAGGTATACAAAGAGGCTGTCTGAGCAGTCAGGGATCAGGTTAGGAAAGCTAAAGCCCAGACAGAATTAAATTTAGCCAGGGACATAAAGGGGAATAAGAAGAACTTCTACAAGTACATCAGTGATAAAATGAAGACTAGGGAAGATGTGGGCCCTCTCCAGAAGGACACTGGAGACCTGACCATGAGGGATACAGAGAAGGCTGAGGTGCTCAATCACTTCTTTGCCTCGATCTTCACCACCAAGGGCTCTGGACACACCACCCAAGTTGCAGAACGTGAAGGTTAGAACTGGGAGAAGGAAGATCTGCCAACCGTAAGTAAAGATCAGGTTTGAGACCATCTAAAGAACTTGAAGCTGCACAAGTCCATGGGACCTGATGAGATTCATCCACGGGTCCTGAGGGAACTGGTGGATGAAGTTGCTAAGCCACTATCCATCGTATTAGAAAGGTCATCGCAGTCTGGTGAAGTTCCCACTGACTAGAAAAGGGGAAACATAACAACCACTTTCAAGAAGGATAAAAAAGAAGACCTGGGAAACTACAGGCCAGTCATTCTCACCTCTGTGCCTGGAAAGATCATGGAGCAGATCCTCCTCAAGGTTCTACTAAGGCACATGGAAAATGAAGGAGAGGTGACTGGTAACCAGCATGGCTTCACCAAGGGCAAATCGTGCCTGACAAACCTGGTGGCCTTTTTATGATGGAGTTACAGCATCAGTGGACAAAGGAAAAGCAACTGATGTCATCTACCTGGACTTCTGCAAAGCATTTGACACTGTCCCACTGTCACACACAACATCCTGGTGGCCAAATTGGAAAAATACGGATTTGATGGATGGACCACCATCTGGATAAGGAATTGGCTGGATGGTCGCACTCAGAGAGTTGCAGTCAACGACTCAGTGTCCGAATGGAGACCAGTGACAACTGGTGTCCTTCAGGGATCAGTACTGGGACCGGTGCTATTTAACATCTTTGTCAGCAACATGGACAGTGGGATCGAGTGCGCCCTCAGCAAGTTTGCTGGTGACACCAAGCTGTGTGGCACAGTCGACATGCTGGAGGGAAGGGATGCCATCCAGAGGGACCTGGACAGGCTTGAGAGGTGAGCCTGTGCAAGCATCATGAAGTTCAACAAAGCCAAGTGCAAGGTCCTGCACATGGGTCGAGGTAATCCCAAGCACAAATACAGGCTGGGCAGAGAATGGATAGAGAGCAACCCTGAGGAGGATTTGGGGGTGTTGGTAGATGAAAGACTGAACATGAGCTGGCAGTGTGTGCTTGCAGCCCAGAAGGCCAACTGGATCCTGGGCTGCATCAAGGGATGATCTCTAAGGTCCCTTCCAACCCAAACCATTCTACGATTCTATGATTGCTCAGGCTACTCTGCCTTCCAGCTTCTTATGCACTTGCTCACTAGTAAAGCATGTGAAGTTGGAAACTCCTTGGCTTAGCAACAACTAAACATATCAGTACATTATCAACATTCTTCTCAAACCAAATCCCACACAGCACTATTCTAACTACTCAGAAGAAAAATAGCTCTAGCCCAGTCAAAACCAGGACACACCTCCCACTTTTGAGAAACTCTCCCTTGTACACTTCAGTGTCAAGGAAGAACACTATACAAATGCATTGGTTGCTTCATGCTACCAGCTGGAAGAACAAAATCTCTAAAAGTGAGGCTTATGCTCAGAAATGTGGAAAAGCACAATGACAGCTGAACTCGCATCCATGTAGTCATGTTGGTAGTACTAACTCCTCTGCTGAAGTAGACAGCATATGGGTCTACCAGTCTAACAGACAGAGCTAGATTGCACAGACTTACTAATTTTAATGCTTAATAGAAGCCTACTTGAACCGAATGCCTTGCACTTGGAAAAACATTCTTCATGTTAATATTTATTTCTGTCACATATTTTATTTCTACATTGCACTTCAGGTTGTCCAAAAGGCAGTAATTGAAGTGGATGAAGAAGGAACTGAGGCCACAGCAGCTAGTGGGTCAGAAATAACTGCATTCACAGTGCCTCCTGTCATCAAAGTGGACCGACCATTCCTTTTTATGATTTTTGAAGAAACTTTTAAAACATTACTCTTCATTGGCAGGGTAGTTGATCCAACAGAAATATGAATAAAGGCAACAGTTTCTATTTTGGGGTATGTAAGAGGTTTTATTTCTATTTTATTAACTTACATTAGAATTAAGAGACAGTGAAAGATGAAAATTTGAAAATCTGTTTTGTCTCTCTAGCTTGCAGTAGGTCATTCTATTCATATTTTATTAAACGAGCTAAATTTACAAATGTCACAAAGTGACAAAAACGTGTCTTGTAAAATCTACCATGTGAATTAAAAAAACCCCACAGAACTGAACTTTCAAAATTCAACATTTTAGTGATGTCTTAATAAAAACCAGAGATTTATATGCCAAAATATTCAGGAAGCTCATTCCCAAACACTACAGGCTTGATATTCCTCAATGTTATCTTCTGTTGCAATGAGACTAAAGAGTCTACTGACCTGAATGTTAGCAGAATTTTGTCATTTATAAAAACAGAAGCAGGATCAAGCCCTAAAAGAGAATTTACAGCCTCTGCCTAGAGATCTTTCTTTTATTTCTGTAAAAATTGCGCTGTCTCTCATGAAGTCTGCATTGTCCAGGACTGTGACCTCTTTCAAAGTATTTATAAAGTGTTATCTGAGAGTATCAAATCACTTCATTTTCTCAGGGTACCTGATGTCCCACTTTTAAAATATTCTTTCTATTAATGACAAAATAATTCTGAAAAATAATTTAGGTATGCTGAACCTGGAAAATCTGAATCTGTACTACTTCATAACACCAAACTGGGCCTCCCCTAAAAACAGAATTTCTGCATGTGCTATCATCTAGATGTCAGGGTGAACTACATAACAGGACTCCATGTCTGAACTAAGACAGACTTGGGTAGGAAAAAACATACCTCCATAAAAGTGAAATAAATTTATTCACAGACCTCATCCTAAAAACCAAAAAGTGTTGCCAAAATGTTTCAGAAAAATATTGCCACAATCTAAATATAATTTACTTTATTAAGTAGTGAAGCAATTCCAATAGAGCAGCAAGGTCTTTAATACTCTAAATTTTAATTAGCAGTCCTATAGTCCTATATATAAACTATGACAAAAAGCAAAAGCTACTTCTAGCTATATATAACTAACAGAGCTAAGCATTACTCTACTTGCTCACACAGCCTGCACAAAACAGTTGCCCAAAGAGGGCAGAAGAGTTTTCAAAATCATTTGGCACAGAAGCTTCAAAGGTGTCTATCAGTAAATGCACATGGACAGATGCATCCACAAGAGAAGATACAAAAGATACGTTACGGGGCAAAGCTGTTAAACCCCTCTACAAACGACCTCTGTTACCATTAGATATCTACTCACAGCAACCCAGACACTGGTGTAAGCCACTCACAAAAGCATTTAGCAGGTAGACTCTGGTACCTGACTAGACTACAAAGGTGCACCTAACCTTACTCCATATTGCAGTATGAATGCATCCAGAAAGAAGACCACTCCTTCCTGCCTCTGAATGCTTACCAGGAGAAATGCTGCTATAGAGAACCACTCAGTTATCACTGTACAGTTGACCTCCAGCTGTTTTTTCTGAGTTGCAGGTAAAAACAATGCTACAAACAACTCAAAAGTATTGGTACTGTCCAACAGAAGTAAACCAGAAGTAGGCAGTCCCACAAAAGACTGCTGGGATGGAGGTCTGTAGTGTGAAGAACTGTTGAAAGTATACACGAGATACCAGGAGTATTGTACAAGTAAGATGTGCAGAGCAAAAAATGTCTAAATAGACCATTTAAAGATTATATAGCAGGACTTTAATACATAGTAGGGTTACTGAGTGGAGCACATGTTATCAGCATTAAATGAATTAATCAGCTAAAAATGACAGACAAGTGACAGCCAGTAAGAAACAAAAGACAGACTGTATACAGAAGTCATTACATGCTTAGTATGGGGAGAAATAGCTTGGCTTCAAGTTTCTGAATTTACTGGCTGTTCTGCATTGCTCTAGTAAAGGCATCTGAGGGTCAAACACAGTTTAGAGTCCTGTTCTGCAGCTGATTACTGCTGATCTGAGTTTGGTCCCTGGTAGAAGTCAGACTGAGAACAGATTGAGCAGTCTCCTGGGGCCCATGAGTGAGCACCTGTAGCTGGCACGTTGAGTTAGCTGTCCCTGGGGAACTGGGATTATCTGTTTTTGTTAATGAGACAAAAGCAGAACCTAGGAGGAGCCAGTATAGGTCATCTGTATAGCTGTATCAATACTGCATGTTAAACATCATAATACCTGAAGAAGCTTTTAAAGAAATATGTGATTTACAAGATCCTATGCCATGTTGCAGAACAAAATGAAAACTTGAGTGTTTCCACAGAATCCAAATAATGTCTGTGACTAAAGACAGAGAACACCCAAATCCAAGTGCAGTGTAAGAAGCTTAAGAATTCAGACAGTAAAACACTGCTGCATCCAAAGACACAATTTTGTACTTCCCACAAGACAGCATACATCCAGCATTATTACTATTTAAAATAAATACCTTCTATAGGTAAATGCTTTTATTTAATTATAAAAGATGCCCTGAGAAACTTTTTTCAAGAACATGCATGTACAGCATTGTCCTAGGTTTTATTTTGAGTAAATCATCATTCATATTTTTACATTATAAAAAGTAACCACACACGCATATGCATTCACAGATAAGATAATCTTTATCATACACCAATAAATTTTAAAAACCACATATTTCTTATATCAGTATATTTTTGCTGATTCCATTTTTGAAATAAAGAAGCTGACAATAGCTTCATAGGCTGTCTCCCAAGTATTGGCATAAATAGAACTTTTTAAAATAGAATTTAATGTTTTCCCACAGACAAATTTTGATAGAAACATTAGCATTAATACAAACAAATGCAGATGACATCACTGAAGCATGATAGCTTGCCATAGCGGCTGATTAAAAACTAGATTCATCATTATAAATTATTCGAGTGAAAATACAATCTGAAATACTAAAAAATAAAACAAGTATTTATACAGCAAAACTTATGAAATACAACATTTTTGTTTATATCATCTGCTTTTAGATTGCTTTGAAACTTACACAGGATTTTTATGAACTTTACTCAGTACTTGGAGAAACATTGCCTTCAAATTCACACCACAATGCTACTAAAGTTTATGGTTTTTACAGACTGATCAATGGTTCTGGATTTTGGTCTTAAGTTTGAAGATGTGGGATTACTTTTTCATATTCATAACAATTCCTTCTATTTCTTGCATAAAACACGGGTGCTAAGAATTGCTAAAATTGTAAATAAGCCAATTAATGGGTACGTGCATTCTAAATCCACGAATTTGAACTACAAAGGCATAATTGAACAAAACAGAATCCTCTCTTTAGCTGCAGCAGTTACGAGCACATAGCTTAAGTTGTATTTCATAACATTTCACTACAACATTAGAATTCTGCAACCATGACATTACTTATCGGAACATATTTTACAGCTTGGGATTTTATTTAAAAGGAAAAGTTTTAACATTGCAAGATGCATTTTATTCATTCCAGGCATTAGAGTCCCATCTGCTGCTCCCACATTATCACACCAGAACGTTGTTTCCACCAGTCTCTGGTTTCATTTTTCTTCTGTCAGAAGATCTAAGAGTTTGATTTTCTGTTTTTTCTTCATACAAAAGAAACACACAAAATATGTTGTTGCTATATTATTAAACAACATAACATAATAAACTGCTATATTGTGCAACATTTTAATATAACTCCTAGTTGCTGTACTTTAAAAATTACTAATTGCTCTACTGCACCTACTGAGAGAGCCAAATGGACACATTCTGAGGGCATTCTTCACAAGAAGGGTATATTTCTCTATTAAGTTTCCTACAGAAGCTCATATAGAGATCCCTCTAAGTGAGATGGTTAAGGTACTACAAGCAGTCTACTCATGGATACAAATAATGATAGAAGTCTCCAGCTTAACCCATTATAAAATCTGGGGAAAGTGAGGACAGGGAAGACAGAGAAACTTACAGTGTTATTTCTAGGTCTTCTGTTGACCACAGTGTCATTTGGGCAACTTGTGCATTTGTCCTAGCCTTAATTTTTTATTCTGTAAATACACTGTTCTTCAATGTCACAGAGTTGTAGCTATGTCAATTAACAACTGTTTGCATTGATCAGAAATATTTCAAAGAATACGAATTAACTTGTAGAACTCTGTGGAAATACGAATTTGCATCAATATTTTACAGTATCATTTACAAACAACACAATATGCTGTTCTGTTTCACACTTTTAAAATTGCTGTTGGAACCTATCATGATAATCTATCAGTGTCAGGATACCTACTAGCTTCATCTGAGAAATGGGACCCAAATCACATGGCATTCCCACTAGACCTCAGAACTCTTAGCATCTTAAATGGCAGGATGAAAGCATGATTATAAGTCGTCAGTAACCAACTCGAAGTGTAGTAGATCAGTGGCAGAACTACTTCATCTTTTGCTCAACTTCCTAAGCAATTATATGACTGGACAAAAGACACTACTTTAAGATACTTATGCATATAATTGTTACAACATGGTCACACACCAGTGTGCACCTCTTAAAGGTCGGTTGTAGACATCTTATAAAATACTGATATCAATTTATTAATAATAAATCGATACTTATACAACAAGAAGTCTACTCCCACATTTTACAGGATGGAAAACCTGTAGCTCTCATTCTTGAAGTAAGTTTTAATTGAAAGTGAAACAAAATCAGGCACCATCTGTATGTCTGTAGGCAAGATGCAAAATTCTTAAATGCTGCCTGTAAACTTTTGGATATTTTTATTGATGAATCTATGAAGTCCTGGAAAATAGTTTTAAACAATTTCATATTGAAAACAGTCATATTACAGCAATGTAAGCTCAAACAACAAAAAAAATCCCCATCCCAAAAGAAAATATCTTAATCCCATAAAAATTAAAACATTTAAAAGAAGATAATAAAGCTACATTGCATAATAGTACAAGATCAGACAACTTGATGGAGTGCAGTGTTTATGAATCATGTCAATTTCTGCACTAGAATGATTCATAATCTTACTG